AGCGGCAGCGAGCCTTCGGACATGCTCGCCTATGTGGAGTGAGTCACCACAAAGGTTTTCGCGGTCTTCCTTACTTGACTATACGCGAACCGGGAGGATCCCGTCAGCGATAGTCTATGCGGCCCCTAAACGTTTTCCCTCTGCTCAACCCCCAGCGGACTGTCAAAAATTATGGCGGATACTTCTATGCAAGAAAACGTTCGTGTTCCAGGTATCTGCATCGATAAAGAAGAAAGAGGGTCGAACACCGGATACTTCTCCTTTCGCAACCTTGTCGGCGACTCTGCAAGCAGACAGAGATTCTCTGGCCGCATCTTCCCAATTTCGACTTTGTCCCGTGACATTTGCGATCCCCTCTTCGTTTCGATCTAGCATACTATCCCAAGAGCGACATTTCTTTTTCCTAAAACATATCAGGGAGGTTTTACTTGTCTACTCTTTTTTTATTTACTCCACTTCATTACCTCGTGTCTTCTGGCATCGCCAATAAGCTCAGGTACTATTTTTTGATATCACAACAAGCATGTTCACAAATAGGGACTTCAAATTTAAGCACATGCATTTCCCTTAAATAAACCGATACCGATATCTGAATGGCTATTGTGGTTGTCAAATTCAAGTTTTTACGCCCAATGTCAATCGAACCAACCATCGTTATTGTACCTCTTAAGTGAAATCATTTGCCTGCTTAGCGTCCTTATCCCAAGCTTCGTTATTTAAACGAGCCCTCTTTAAAATCAGTCCTCCTCGCTGTTTGTTTGAAAAAATTGCCACCCTGAAGATGAGAGTTTTTAGTTCGCTGAAGATATAGGGGGAGTTAATTACTTCCATGGATGCATCCTAGTCAGAAGTAATAGTGTGATTGATTAATGCTCACATAGTTAGCCTGCATGCATGGTTTTTGTTATTTTAACGTCCAGTGGCTGCCCAATTGAATTGTTTGGAAGTTGATTCTAGGGTAACAAGACAAACGGCCTAAAATTGCTGCATATCTCCCCTATAGTCGCTACGGAACGGTTTATTTTTCGTATCGAGGTCCCCCTCGGACATGAATATATTCAGTCGGCTTATTTTGACTGAATTCAGTCAATTCACGTTTTTTTCTATTCTTCCATACACTACTATAAACCGATTTTCTCACTGAAGAGAGTACAACGTAATCGTGATGGTTTAATAATCTTTTATGAGAAAACTTTGGCTAGTAACTATTTTCAAGTCACAAAGCGTCTGAACTGCAAACAAGTTACTATCCTTCTAAGTCAGGTGGATTTTCTCTTCTACGCGAAGGACGAGCTTCAGGTTCCAGGAAACACCTGGAACAACTGACTTGTGTTACTGCTGACAACCATCTATGCGTATGCCAAACTTACTACGCATTCAGGCTATTTTTTTAAATCCAGAACATGACTAATCAATTAAAGTACAAAGCTTGATCTATTCTTGTCATAATGTGGGTTTAGAGCGCTGACTTTCAGGCTTATGTGTTGTAATCTCTCTTACTGAAGTAGCTTGGTTGTTTTCCTCAGACTCGAATGAATGCATGTACTGGAATTGCGTTCACCAATCAGACTACGGGAAATGATCCTCTCATTGTATCTGTGGACTTAATCTACTGGCCACGAGGAAAGTTGCGTTAGAACCATGAATATATGACGAATGCAGCAGCAATGGATGCAAGGCAGCCTGAGGTGGTTATTTTGGCATTTCAACGAACAATTAGCCATACTTAAGCCCTGATTTAGGACATCTGGGATCCATGCGCATTCAAGTCAACGCCGTACCACGGAGTCACGAGCCCGTTGTTCTATCGGTTGCCATCGGGCCTATGAACTGTGCTGAAATTGCGTTCATAAATCCAGTTAAACAAATGTTCCTCACGACACACTCGCAACCAAAAGGATGAAGGGCCTGTTGCTCAGTGTTAGAGCGTTCGAATCAGGGCTCAATCTTTCATTTTTTATATTCCAACTGCTCCGAAGCTGGGGATGACTATGGCTGATAGATGATAACTAGTACTTCAGAGCGGACATTCTAGTCGTTTTTTCCTTTGTTTGTACAACTTTTGTACCTTATCAACTGCCCATAACTCGCCCCTCCAGAGAATAACAATGAATACAGAAATGGTTGACTCGTTTTGTTCAATGTTGGAGGACTAAGGAAAATGAATTATTAGGAAGCGAATTCTTAAATTACCTTGCCAAATAACCTTTTTATACAGTTAAGTTATTCACAGGGCAAAAAAATATCAACGCGAATAGCGAATCATTGAATGTCCTAGTGATTTTAAATTCGGTCGACAGGAAAGCCCTCTGAAAACCTGAAACCATCCAGGTAACAGAACGACAGACAGCTGAGGCATGCAAGGATTCTCACACAAATGGAACTACTGAAACGTACCTAGTAGACAAGAATGCAAGCATAAGCATTTATTACATTTTATCCACTTTTGAGCACACGTACCGTTCTAAATTACTTCACAAGTGGAAACCCAAGTCAGAGACAGAACGCTTTACAAATAGGCCTTAATGAAAGATTTGAATGTACTTTAAAAGTTTTTAGGCGTTTTTATGGATGAATGAATGGGAATGGCGAAACGTTGAGA